GGGTGGGGGGTTCGGGGGGGGGGTTGCGCCCTCTGGCTGGCAGCGGTTCCGTGAGGCGCAGGGTTCACAGATTTGGTTCCGTGGCTTTCAGCGCCCCCAGGCTGCAAACTGTTCCCTTGCTCCTCTTCCAGCTACCAGGATTTGCATGTGTTCGAGCTGCAAGAGCCCACGAGAGTCATTGAGTGGCTAGGAGAGAAAAGTGAGTCCTTTCACTCCTGTTTGCTGGGCAGAGTTAGGAGCCGCTGTGTTCATCGTAGGGATGTAAAAACTCATTAAAAACGTAACCATGCAGTTCCATGGCCTGTGGGGTCTGCAGTGTAAAGCCGCTGTGTAAAGCCACTGCAGCATCCGCAGTGAAGCTGGCTCCCTGGGAGTGAGGCTGGAAAGAGCTGAAGCATATGAGGATAGCTCAGTGGTTTGAGCATTGGCCTGCTAAAGCCAGGGTTGTGAGTTCAATCCTTGCGGAGGCCATTTAGGGATTTGGGGCAAAAATTTGTCAGGGATGGTACTTGGTCCTGCTGTGAAGGCAGGGGACTGGACTCAATGACCTTTCAAGGTCCCTTCCAGTTCTAGGAGATAGGCAATCTCCATTATAAAACCTTCCCAGGAGCAGGGAGGCTTAACTGACACAGCAAAGCTGTCACCAGGGAAGCAAGGCCAGCAAGGGCTGCAGCGAAGTCTCCTTTGGAGCAGAATGTAACCTGCGGCAGGAGGGCCAATGTGACCTCTTTCTGTGTAATAGGACAGCCTCTAATTGGGCCTGTACATAGGCCTGTTAACAAAAAAGAGCCTGTAGGATATGAGGATAGTTGGGTGTGTAGTCATGTCAGTGATAATAGCTGTGTTTCTGACCTGTCACACATGGATCTTCCTGAAGCAGTGTAAATGCTGTCAGTCATGGTGGAAGGAGGGTTCAGAATTATGTACCCACTAAGACTGAGAATGCTCTTGCAAAATAGACTTTTTAGTTTGCTCTCTTTGGCTGGGAGTATGAAGGTGCTGGGGGCCTGGATGCTGGGCCTGGATGCTGCTATAATCTCTGGTGAGTCCCCACTTGCTACCTGGCTGCTTCTCGCCACCAGCCCACATGGAGCCGTGCTGGCTGGATGGAAAAACTTTTTTTAAAGTTTCCACGGGCCGGATTGGGGAGATTCTCAGGATGCAAAAGGACTGCAGGCCGGGACTTTGAGATCTCTGTGATAAATTGACTGCTGAGCATTCTTCTGTCAATTCCAGTACTCCACCAGAATTACAAGTGTAGGTGGAGATGACAGGAGAGCATCAGCTGCCAATTTATCGCTGTGACGATACCATGGTAAGAAGATCTAAGTACATCAATGTCAGCTACATTATTTATGTAGCTCAAATTGTGTAATTTAGATCGATGGCCTGTGGTAGTGTAGATTAGGCCTCAGTGGCCTCTTTGTTAAACTCATTCTACTTTACATACAGATTGCTAAATACAAGTTCAGTCCTTAGCTGCTGTGAGGGATTGGAGATGCTGCTGCATGATGGTGTTTCTCCTACATTGCTGTCAGGTTTCACCGCCTGTGCTCACTCATGTAGCACTTCGTCCGGCAGGATTAGCTGAGACACACTAATGGGGGACACACCTAGTGAATTTAGTTGGCAGATACTTTGTGCTGGTAGCTGAGATAGTGGTGTGACCTTATGGAGACTAAAATGAGACAGAATTTTTTTGGAGAAGGAAACACCAGGTGAAGGGGAAAACGGGTTAGAAAGGTGAATCTCCTGCCGATGTGGAGGAGAGGGGTAAATTGATCCTGTGGCAGCACATCATGGTTTGAGACAGATTTCCCACAGTACAGCTGACAACCCTGATACTTAAATTCCCTGTTAGAGGATCATTCCCAGCGGAGGAAAGGACTCGTCCTGCACTCATCTCATGGTTTATTTTGTAACTCTAGGTGTCTGTGTCGCAGGATATGAAAACGCCAGAAGAAATGAAATTCTCCAGCTCTTGTTACCTCAAAAACTGTGTGTGAAAGAGAAGCAGGTAATGGTGGCTCAGTGGGATATTTGTTTCACTTTCGTTACTGCCCCCAAATGTGTGCAGCCAGCAGGCGTTCTACAGAAACTGGCAAAAAAACCAGGGTCCACCTGCTGGAGAACTTTCAGGCTGCAGGTAGATGTGACCTGGTTAGATACAAAAGGTAGACCAAGAACTATATTGAGATCAGTCAGTGAAGGCATGGATGTGCCTTCATGTTTCAGTGTGAGTATAGTTTGAGGAGGGGAGTTGAGCGCAGACTAACTTGTCATAGGGATGGGAGGAAAGGAGGGATTTGAATGAGGAGAAAGAAGTGGCTTGGTGAACAGAATACCTCTAAGTGCCCAGTCCTGCAGACTCCCTGCATGCAGAACCTCATGCAGAATAAGAATTTCTCTCTCTTCTAAGCACTTTACTCTGTAGATCTCAAAACACTCTACATCAGACATCGGATTCATTATCTTCCAGGCAAGTGACAGATTAGGGATTACACCCCACACTTTGAGTGTGTCCAGTACTGTTACCCACCCAAATTATATTAGACACCCTAGGACATCCGCCTTTACTAAGTTCCCAGGATTCGAAGTGTAATCCACTTGATTTAGGAACCCTCTCCAGCCTTTCCCAGTTCCTAGGGCTCAGGGTGTACTCTTTTCATTCTTGCGTGACCTTTTACTGCTGAAAGAGCCTTACGCAGTAATATCCTTATCCTCTCTTTATTAGCAATTCCCAAACAGAACATACATACTAAGCATACAGTGCCATGCTCCCCAACCCTGATCATGCCGGCAGACTTTCCCTGCTGGCCAGACAAGATCAGTCTCATCTGGATTCTCATTACTGCACATCCTGGGCATGCAGAGGATTCTTAGCAGCCCTGATCTTAGGCTATGTCTTAGAGGTGAGATCTTCTAGGTCAGTGGTCCCCAACCTTTTGGTGCTGCTGGGCGCCCGGGGGCAGGGCCACTTATGGGCTGGGCGCCCGGGGACGGGGCCACCCATACGCCACGTGCCCGGTGCTGGCGCCACACTCCTGCAGCCGTGCCACTCCTGTGCCGCACGCCCAGGGGTGAGGCTGCCCATACACCACGTGCCTGGGGCCAGCGCCGCTCCTGTGCCACGCACCCAGGGGCGGGGCCACCCATACGCCGCGTGCCCAGGGTCGGGGCTGACCATGTGCTGCGTAACCGGAGCTGGCGCCGCCCCTGTGCCGCGCGCCCTGGGGCGGGACCGGCCCCGATCACTCGGTGGGTGCACAGAAATGTCCCGGCGGGCGCCATGGCACCTGCAGGCACCACGTTGGGGACCACTGTTCTAGGTCTTTCCTCCTTATTCGTCTGTTCTTTCTGCAGGTCTCCTTTTTGGATCCCCATTTATATAGTGACACTTGAGTCCTACTTACCTATCCCTTAACCAGTCATTTCACTAAAATGTTACTACATGATTCTGTAGCCAATCTGAGCATATTGTAAGATAATTCTTTAACCAGTCATACCCCACCACCTTAATTGATTTACAGTTAGCAGTTAGCTATGTAACAGACGGAAAAAAATCAAAGAACCGTACAGATGAATAGGGTCCTACTAAATTCATAGTCCATTTTGGCAATTTCATAGTCATACGATTTTAAAAATGGTAAATTTCAAGATTTCAGCTATTTAAATCTGAAATTTTATGGTGGTGTGGTTGATGGGGCCCTGACCCAAAAAAGAGTTGTGTGGGGGTCACCAGGTTATTGTATGAGGGTTGTGGTATTTCTACCAGTATGTCTGTATCATTGGCGGCAGCAGTATTGCCTTCAGAGCCAGGCAGCTGGAGAGCAGCAACAGCTGCTGTCTGGGATCTTAGGACTGAAGGCAGAGCTACTGCCAGCAGCAGCACAGAAGTAAAGATAGCACGGTATGGTGTTACCACTCTTCATTCTGTGCTGCTGCCTGCAGAGTTGGACCTTTAATCAGCAGTCACCACTCTCTGGCCATCCAGCGCTGAAAGCAGCAGCACAGAGGTAAGGGCAACATGAGAATGGTATTGCCACCCTTCTTCGATGCTGGTGGGGCACTGCCTTCAGAACTGGGCACCCGGCCAACATCACAACCTATACTCTCCAGCTGTCCAGCTCTGAAGGCAGCACAGAAATAAGGGTGGTAATACCAAGAGCCTCCGAAAATAACCTTGTCATCCCCATGCAACTCCCTTTTGGGTCAGGACCCCCAATTTGAGAAATTCAGGTCACCCACGTGAAATCTCTATGGTTCCCATTTCTCTATGGTTTATCTGTAGGGCTTACCAAGTTCATAAAGACAAAACAAAGAAATGGGGATTTTAGAACCCCAGTGACTTCTTGCCAGATGCTCTCAAACTTGAGATTACGTTAACCATCTTGAGATCTGTTTCTGTATCTGGTGATGGCAGGTAGTATTAGGACAGGATCGCCTTCTTAACAGCTGGATATTCCATAGTTTTCAAGTAATTTGGAGGGGATGTGAGGTTTTGCTTTTTTAGCTCATGCTGCATCCTTACGCTTCTCTGCACACTGAGTCATGTTGCCAAATTGCTATCTGTCTTCATTTGAGCATCTCTGCTCGGTTGGGATTGATCCTGCCTTGGGGAGAGGGCTCATTAAGCAGCTGCGCTGCTGCACAGCTTAGAGGGAACCTTGATTGGTAGCCCCTGTCCCAGCTTGTGCTGTGCTCTTAGCTGATCTCCCAAGCACAGTGGAAACAAACTAGGTTAGCACTTAAATAGCCGTCCTCCCTGGTGCTGCAGAGAATGGTGCTTGCTTTCTGGGTGGCCTGTGCCCCAGCATGAGAGTTGTAAATCCAAAGTCATGTCTGCTAGTAAGAAATGCCTTGGAACCTCCAATGTCTTATTTAGCAAGAATGTTAAACCCGGGTGTCTGGCCACACCCCAGCTGTGGTGATCCCTTTGCAGTTGTAATATTCCTCAGCTCTTGTCTCAAACTGTGCAATGATTATATGCTGGGCTCCTCCCCAGAGCTGGATGAGGAAACACTCCCTGGATATCAGTTTTTCAGAGTTCTTTTCATCCCAAGGGATCCCAAAGCAACTGCATAAATCTACAGTATTAACCGTAACTGAGGATGCCAGCCATTCCAGACCTTGACCTATTGCCCTGTTACCTAGAAAGAATGAAGAAATGTTGAACTGACCAGCATGTGCTAAAGAATAGCATGTCTGCTTCTGCTTTTTAGGGTTTGTGTCCCGAGAGAGATTTCAAGGTGGAACAGGGTGGATTTTCCGATCGCCCTGTGTACAGCCTACAGCATGTACCAGACACCAGGTATGTGGACGGGGACTTTCTGGCTCCTATTTGAAGGATATGTAGGTTCTTCTTTGAGTGATGTCCCCATGGGTGCTCCACCGTTGGTGTTGGGTTGTCCCTGCACTGCAGATCGGAGTTTTTAGGAGCAGTAGTCAGCCTGACCGCGCTTCATGCCCTTTTAATCTCTTGCGCGGTGTGGCTCCCGCCAGTTCCTTCTTTGCCGCCTGTGGTGGCAAACTGAGCGAGCCTCCTCTCCTCAAACAAACCCTGTCAGGAGTAGAACAGAATCTTGTTTTAGTTTTAATAGTTAGTTGTAGTTAGAATTCTTATAGAGTTATTAGTTATAGTTCGCAGTTTGAAAAAAAAGTTCTTTATCTTCGTTAGTTATATAAATAGCTATGCCGGGCTCTCCTGGCTTTAAGAAGTGCGCTGCATACCGTGACGTGATGCCCACATCAGACGGCCATGCCAATTGTATTAAGTGCCTCAGCAATCCATCCATTGTGGCAAACCAACTGGTAGGGCACGTAAGGACAAAGAGATGAGGCTAAAAATGTTCCTATTTGACAAAGCGCTTCAACCTGCGGAGCTTTCTCATTCTTGTCTCCACTCCGTGATCTCTTAGGGCTGAGAAAAGAAAAGCTGTTTCTCTTCAGCCGGCTCCTTCTCGAAAAAGAGCTTCACCAGCCTGTTCTCTACCATCCGCCCGAGTAAGCGTGGGTGACAAGCCTGGCACGTCTGGTCCTGTGACATCCAAGCATAAGTTGCTGTCAGAGCCACAACCCTGGCAAAGACCTACAGTGCTGCAGTCAACAGTCTCAACGGCCCGCCGCTCAGCACTGCCGGCGACTGCATCAGCCATCACGGTACCAACAAGGTCGGCATCCTCCATGTCAGCACCGCCCACATGTGTGCCGATGACCTCGGCATGGGCGACCTCGACACATACATCTGCACAGGCATTATTGGCACCATATGTCCCATCCAGCCCTCCGGTGCCAAAGAAAGCACCTTATAAATCTGGTTCAATGAAGCAAATGAGTCCGGAACCGTTGACTTCCTCGCTGGCACCATCCTCTGCTCCACCTTCTCCGTATTCCCCTCAGTTAACCAGGAACAACAGGAGTCACACTCCACGTAACCAAACCAGACACCATAGGTCTAGGTGTCATCTGTCACCGTGCCCTTATACAAGATATGCTGCTCAGTCTCCTCCTCCCTCTTCAAGAGGTTCACCACATTCTCCACACCTCCCAGTACATCATCATATGCGCTACAGGAGCGGTCACTCATCTCGATATGTTTCTCCAGTGCGGTCTCACCACAGGCGACCCAGCCCAACATATTGCCCATATTATTCTCGACATGCCTCAACTCGTCATCACTATCATCGCTCTAATTATGGTTATCCTTGTTGCCACAGTCACCCGACTTCTCATGATCCTTCAGTTTTTCCTCAACCTTCACATAGTCAGCAAATAGCAGTCACACCTCCCAACTCTCCTTCTACGGCTCACCACTCGGTACTGGAGGAAGATCAACTATCCGAAGTTGAGGAACACTCACCAGACGTCTCATCAACCGATCAGTCATCATCATCCCCTGATGAAGCGGTTATACCTGATGACTACTCTCCTCCTGACGACCTGAAGCAGTTTCAGGAGCTCTTTAAGAGGGTGGCTACATCTCAGGACATTCCATTAACCGAAGTACCAGAGAAACAACACCGTCTTTTCAAAAATCTTCAGTCTTCTCAACGGGAGAAAATCGCAATACCCATAGACGAGGCTATTATGGAGCTCGCTGATGAAATCTGGCAGACTCCAGCTTCAGTGCCACCTACCAATAAACGCGCTGACAAGAGATACTTTGTCCCTCCAGAGGGAGCTGACTTTTTATTTTTCCACCCTCGACCGAATTCATTAGTTGTTGACGCTGCCCGTTACAGGTCTAAACTTCCGCAATATAAGAACACTGTGGAGAAAGACAACAAACGTTTGGACTTGTTTGGGAGAAAGCTTTACTCTTCCTCCACCTTACTTTTACGTATAGCCAACTACGCAGCATTACTGTCCAATCATAACTTCGACAACTACACAAAGCTTACCTCCCTGATGGAACACTTGCCAGACTCCAAGAGATCCATATTAAAATCCATCGTTCAGGAGGGTTATGCTTCCTCCAGGACGGCCCTCCAAATAGCGCTTGATATAGCGGACACAGCAGCCAGAGCAATTGCAACATCAGTGGTTATGAGGAGAGCCTCCTGGCTACAATCTGCAGAAGTCCCTCGTGAGCTACAATTGAAAGTTATAGATCTTCCTTTCGACAGGCAAAAGCTATTTGCTGAAAAGACTGACGATGTGTTGCATTCCAGCAAGAACTCCAGAACAACATTGCGTAGACTTGGGATGTATACTCCTCCATACCGCCGTAAACGATATATCCCATATAAAAAACACCGGGTGTTCTTGTGCTCCAGAGATCAACAACGCACTTTTGATCATTCAAGGAACAAACAACGCCCTCAAGAGTCATCCACAGAGCACCTATAATACCAGCAACCAGGCCAACAAGTAACAGGTTTGACCTGTTGGTCAAAGGTCTGCAAAATCTCCCCATCTCATGCAAAATACCATATTTCACCCCAGCCTTTCACCACTGTCTGAGGCCTTTCCGTCATTGCTTGCCTGCCATCACATCGGACCGTTGGGTCCTCGAAATAATATCAGGGTACACTATCCCATTTCCCCACCCTCCCCGGCCCTCTTCAGGGACCCTTTTCACAAAGATCTGCTAAAACAGGAGGTGCCGCCACTGCTCAACCTCGGAGCAGTGGAAATGGTCCCTGAAGGCTTCAAAGGCAAGGGGTTCTACTCCCATTACTTTCTCACCCCAAAAAGGATGGAGGCCTATCTTAGGCCTCCGCAGATTGAATCGGTATCTTTGAAAATGATTCAAAATGGTTATCCTAGCTTCAATAATACCTGTGTTAAAGAAGAGAGACAGTTTGCAGCCCTTGACCTGCAGGATGCCTATTCTCACATACTATTCACCCTGCACACAGACGATTCCTGCGTTTCATGGTGGGAACAGATCATTACAAATATCAAGTGCTGCCATTCGGCCTTTCTTCTGCACCCAGAGTATTTTCAAAGATGCTGGCTATTGTCTGCGAAGGTAGGCCACAACAGGCTATCATTATCTTTCGTTATCTAGACAATTGGTAAAAGGCCCGTCGGAAGTAGAGACTCATCGAATGGTAGCAATAACCAAGCAAACATCTGAACTTTTGGGCTTCATACTCAATACACAGAAGTCAATTCTACAACCTACACAAACTCTAGAGTTCATAGGTGCTCAATTAGATTCTTTATCAGCAAAGGCATACCTTCTGAGGCAAAAGTTTCAAGCAATCCAGGACCTTGTTGCTAATCTTACCGCCAGCCCCACAGTTCCCATACTTACTGTCTTCAACTTATGGGTCACATGGCCTCTAAAACCATGTGATCGACTACGTCTGCTTGCACTTTCGATGTCTTCAGCAGTTTATGCCCACCACAAGCAACAAGTGTACAGACTGGTTTCCCCTCCCTTCCCCTCCCCGTCTTAAAATCTCTGGTATGGTGGACCGATCCTTGCAGTCTTCTAGCAGGTGTACCATTTCTTCGAGACCAACCTTCTGTACACCCAACTACCAATGCGTCCCTTGTTGGAGCCCCACATGAATGCCATGTCAATACAAGGATGATGGACCGCACAAGAGACCACTTTACATATCAATTTATTAGAACTCAGAGCTGTTTTCAATGCATGCAAGAATTTCATTTCACACATTCACAACAAAAATATCAGAGTATTGACTGACAATATATCAACAATGTACTATATAAATTGCCAGCGAAGTGCCCAATCCAATATTCTATGCACTGAAACAGTCAGATTATGGAACTGGTGCATACGAACCAAAATCACCCTCGTTGCTTCATACTTACCAGGATTAAACCACATAACAGCAGACACTCTTAGTAGACACACTGTCCCAGACCACGAGTGGGGAGCTGCATCCTTGGGTCCTCCAATCCATCTTTCAAAGTGGGGTCTCCCAAAAATAGACCTATTCGCTTCCTAAAGAAACAAGAAATGTTGTCATTACTGTTCCAGAGCTGGCACCGGACCAGGATCTCTAGGGGGCACCTTTCTCCTCAATTGGAAAGGCCCCTTCTTATATGCATTTCCTCCTATTCCACTCATTCCCAACGTGCTAGAGAAGATCACCAGAGACAAAGTGACAGTTATTTTCCTAGCACCATTTTGGGCACGACAGTTATGGTTTCCTTATCTGTTTCTGATGTCTCCTCAGCCTCCCTACCACCTTCCGATCCATCACGATCTCCTAACTCAGAACAGAGGAACCTTACTCCACCCACAGCCACATCTCCTGCGCCTAACAGCTTGGCTCGTTGTTGGTTCTACCAAGAAGAACTACAAGGTTCTGACCAGGTAGAAGAGGTTCTTTTGCACAGCAGGAAACTATCTACCCACACCACTTACCTCCAAAAGTGGTGTAGATTCCTTTCCTGGTGTTCTAATAAGAATTTAGACCCAGCCATAGCGCCTTTACATAAAATTTTTGATTACATATTGTCCCTCAAGGACGCTGGATTAGCTCTTGCCTCTTTAAAAGTACATCGCTCGGCCATCACTTCCTTTCATCAACCAGTAGAAGGGTGGTCAATCTTTGCACACCCAATCACAAGGAGATTCATAAAAGGTCTTTCCAACCTATTCCCACCACGCAGTGTACCACCACCATCGTGGAATTTGGAACTGGTGCTGGACACTCTTACCCGTGCACCCTTTGAACCTCTAGCTACCTGTCCACAGTCGATGACACTAAAGGTAGTCTTTCTATTGGCAATCACTTCTGCCCGCAGAGTGAGCGAGCTAGCAGCCTTACTGGTGGTTCTACCTTATACCATTTTTAACAGAGACAACATAATACTACATTCTCATCCTTCCTTCATTGCTAAAGTATGTTCGGACTTCCATGTAAATGAACCAATCGTATTCCCTTCGTTCTACCCTAAACCACATTCAACAACAAGACACACAATATTCCATTTACTTGGCATACACAAAGCTCTTGCATTCTACATAGACAGAACTCCATCTTTCCTGAAATCTGATCGTCTACTCATTTCTACAATAGAGCGTACTAAGGGGCACCCTTTGTCATCACAACGCATTTCCAAACTCATAGTCTCCTGCATTACACAATGCTATACTTTAAGGAATAAACCACTTCCTCAAACACCTAGAGCACACTCGACAAGAGCAGTGGCGACTTCTACGGCTTTTCTCCATGAGGTTCCCCTCAAGGACATCTGCAGAGTGGCTACATGGTCCACCAATGACACTTTTATGAAGCACTGTGCAATCTCGCAGACTTAAGTAGAGAACACTATCGTGGCCTCCATGGTCCTATTGACCTCCGTAAATCCGAGGCCCACCTACCACTTAGACTGGGTACTGCTATACGTTCACCAACAGTAGAGCACCCCACCGGGACATCACTCCAAGAAGACGAGGAAGTTACTCACCTTGGTGCGGTAACAACGGTTCTTCAAGATGTGTGTCCCCGTGGGCGCTCCACTACCCGCCCTCCTCCCCGCTTCGGATTCTCTTCTTATATTTTCCAGATACTGGGGCGGACTTGAGGAACTGGCGGGAGCCGGACTGCGCGAGGCATGAAAAGTGTGCGAATGGCACAAAGCGCATGCACGGTCCGGCTGACTAATGCTCATGAAAACTCTAATCTGCGGCGGTGGGATGACCCAACACCAACAGTGGAGCACCCACGGGGACACACATCTTGAAGAACCGTTGTTACCGCACCAAGGTGAGTAACTTCCTCATTTGTTTTGTTCAGTAAAAACTCCCCCTACCTAATAAGACTTGTGAGCTTTTAGCGAAGCTGGCCAGCAAAATGAAAGTGAAGGGCTCTAGAGAGCCCCTCCAACATGCAGCACAGCC